GAATAGTATGTATGCCAGTACTTACCATGTGTTGCTATGGTCCGTTACGAAAATAAATTGCTGTCAACAATTGAAAGTGTTTTGAACCCAGTGCTCTGCCTATTTCGGTTTTTTTAATATCTGCACATCCTTTGCAGTAATCATCATCTATATTACCGAGTGTCCCGCTGATCGTCGAGCAACTCAAGCGGGCGCCAGAAAATCTTCCATTTCCTCTGTCGCGTACAAAAGTAGCCCTGTGAGTTCTGCTTGTTCTAGGAATTCGTCGATCGCCATATCTTTCTTCTAGGGTTTCCCCAAGGAACTCTGATCACTGGGACGATGGTTCTCCTGCTAAGCGTTTGATATCCCGTCGAATCCAGTCTTTTGCTGCTCATGTCGATCGGTTGCTGTTCATACTCATTACATGTCTGGTCCACCTTATATTCGACCGTTTGAAGTGCAGAAGATCTTCGAATTTTGATCGTTGATGAAGGTCGGAGCTTCGGATCCCTTACCTTAGTTCAGTTACGTGATACAGTAGACTCCCAGTATTGTCGCTTCCACTCCACGTTCCATTACGCTGAGTAATCTTTTATCCTGCTTACGCAACGACCAAGTTTCTGACGCATACGTTAAGCCAGGAAGAATCGTGGAGTTGAAAGGATGGGTACCAAGTCAGGTACTCCTTGTTCTGCTCATTACATCCTCGATATTTTTGAAAGCTACTAAGTATCTCGCTTTCTCCTGCTCAACTCTGGGTCTAAGTCGTTTATGGTGTTGATTTCCCGACCTAGAGAGAAGTAACTGGAGCATTCGGAGATATTCGTTTCGTTGAGCGTGAATGGGGCATACGAAACCAATCCGTTCCTCATGAACATCGTTTTGTGAGATTTAGCAGAAGACCAGTCTTTCCACAGGCTTTATAAAATTAGGGAACCATACGTTCCGCTTGGCTAATGTTTGGTGTTATAAGGACGATGTCATCAGCAAAGCGAAGATGGTGTAACTGTCGACCATCGATTTTCACTCCCATATTATCCCATTCCAATGTTGGCATGTCGTTCTGGAATGTGGCGGTAAATAATTTTGGCTAGATGGTATCGTCTTGCCTAACTCCTCTTTTGACGTCAATGTTAATATCGTTGCAGAATGGTGATATCTTGGTTGTGAAGTTTTTGTGCAGCTCACAAAGAATATTTATATACTAAGTAGGCACTCCCTGACTAACAAGGGCTCCCATGGCTGCTTCTATCTCAGTTGAGTCAAAGGCCTTCTTTAAATCGATGGAAGTGAGACAGAGCGCTCCCTCGCACCCGACACTTGAACGAGTCTTGTTGTAAGGTGGATGTGGTCCATTGTTCTGAATTCTTTTTGAAATCCTGTTTACTCATATAGCTGTCCTTCGTCCAATATTCTGCTAACCTTGTTTAGGATGGCTTGAGTGAAGGGTTTATAGCAGAGAGCAAGCAGGTTGGGCGGTAGTTGCCGATATCGTTAAGATCACCAGCTATCTAATGAATTTGCTCACTGTGGTAAAAAATTTCTCCAGTGAAAATTGACATCCAAAGTATCGATGTCGTCCCTGGGTCGTGGACGTGTGGACACTGTATTATCCATACTAAGCATTATGTGTTAAGACGTAAGCATTTTATATCACCGATGAGAAAATGAAGTAGATTGCAAGCAAATGCTGAAGTGTTCTAGAAGGCAACTGCAGTGGTTCGCCTCATCGAGTTTATTTTCGAGTCCCAAATCGTTCATTGTGTTCAGCACATATGTTTTTCAAGCTGAACAAATGGTACTGTTGGGTTTATAAATATGTGTGCTATGTTCATATCGGTTTAACTAGTGCTTCTATAAACGAGGCCCAAGTTATTTTAATTTATTAGTGAAAATTTTTGCCACGTTGCAAGCCAAACGATTACTGTCCATGGGATTGGCATAGTTCTTCAGTATTTCGAAACGCTGATTCAATCGAGTACAGTGTATCGTGGTTTTATGACATTTTAGCTATCTAACTCTTTATATTAAACTTTGATATTTGTTAATTCAATGTTTTTCATCAATAAGCAGACACGAGGTTGTTAATATAGAATTTATTAGAACACAATTGCTGACGTTTCGGCGGTTTCGCCTTCTTCAGAGCCTGGAAAGGTCAAATTGAGATGCGATCTACTCAGCCAAACACTTTCATAACCCTAGCAGATAAAACTTGATAAATCGATTTGTGTTCGCATAAGAAATAGCTTCATTCAAACACCTACCGTTTATTTGTCGTAAGTCTTATTGATGAAAAACATTGAATTATCAATTAATGCCGAGGTTAACAGAAAGTCGGTCATGGGAATTTGATATTTGTCATCTACAAATTTTCAGTAATTTTTCGAGGAACGTGCTGTGAATAAATATGGTCATCCCATAACGGAACTTGGCGTAAGAAAGCTATTTAAATGACTTCCATTAGATATGCAACTCAATTACTTTCTCTGTGGGGTGCCGGGTACCTTGTTTGTCACTGTCAGGAATTTAGTTTCAATCTTCGAACTCACAGTGGAAGTAATGTGAGCAAGTACTAGACCGCCTATGTGGGAAATTTGGCAGCAAATGTGCTCTTATTAACGCTTCGTGTTTTCCGACATCGACTGGATCGGGTCGGGAACTTATGGGATCAATGTACGTTATTTCATTCATAAGCTAACACGAGCTTGTTACCACATATTTATTTGGCTAACGTTTCGACTTCTTCGTCTTAATCAGAGTCGATGGTTGGAGTTGGCGGTCCGCAGTCGTTCATTTTCACGATTTAGTGTCTTTATCGTCTTATGGAGTTGGATCTTCTTCAGTGGAGCACTGCTCGAATGAGACAATCTCATCAATGAGCACTCTTTTACATGGGAGCATTTTTACATTGCCGATAGCCCGTTGATAATAATTAGTTTTTCAAGGCTACGGTCTTGAATAAACAGGTGCCAACCAACGGTCTAAATGAGGTTAAGAGAGGGTTATTACTCAATGTAATATCCGCATCAGGAGGCTTCCAGTACAGGAACAAATTCGATATTTTCATCTGGAAGATAAGAGTAGACTAATGCCAACATTCACTGCTACCCTAGTTTAGATCTATTCACAAGATGGTGAATTTAACACCGATCCATAAGTGCCGCCGACTATCGGTGGTGATGGCTTGAAATATACTATGCAGAAAATGCCCTAAGGAAACTGCGAAGGCTCTTGAAGTTAGGTTGGTGTCCTATGGAAGGAAAATGTTACATAGTCAGGAAATTACTAGTCATTTGGGAAATATATAGGGCCACATAAGGATTCTTTATGAGAGTCGTGAAGTAAAAGCTGAGTTGGTGATGTCATGTGTGCAGAGTTCTTTAAACACTTTCGACTACAGTTTTTCGAATGTTCGCATTTTTACGTGGGTTATATAGGCTTTCTATTACAGAGGGAGGGACAATTCAAGAATATTATCGTCATGTGCTGTTATTAACACTTTACTAAATCGGGTTTCGCTTAACATCCTCGTTAACAACCAATTTACTTCTTCATAATCTTCAGATTTGTCTTTTTTCCTTAGTCTCATTTAGAATAGACTTACCATTTGCTGGTAGTTTGCTGACTGGATGACATTTTTCGCGAGACATTAGTGTTATGCTGTTAACGTCATTAATACCAATTCTACTATTAATGCTAACTTTTTATTTGCTGCCAGCGATAATTTTTCACGACAGGATATGATGGGAAACACAACCGCAATGGTGCTGAAATGTTTGCAAAACTCCGAACAGCCGGTGTCTGGAATGGGGAACGAACACGCTATTATCCTTTCCGAGGTCAACGCGTTCACCACCACACCACGCGGGTTTTTCGTTTCGCATGTCTCTGTTATTAATGTTGCTGGTTCTTCACCAATGCAATGGTGGAAGAAGCGAATACGAGTAGGCCAAAAATGGTACATGAATACAGCGCAGTTGTTCGTAGATTTTAGTTAATCATGCTAAATTTTCTGAAATATACGAAAAGACAGGGATTTCCAGTATACTTCTAGAATCTTCGGCATTTTTGACCTGTCGAATGAGTTTTGTGCATACGAATGCTTATAAAGCGAATCTTTTCACAGCCAATTGTCCAATTAAAAGCAGCAGGTGAAAACCCATCGAACACCTGCGGTGTTTGTCGTCAGCCGATTGCAGTCCGTTATACGGTAGCTAGCCATTCCTCACTTTCTCATAACAAAATCATCAAAACCGATCATTGAACATTTTCTTGGTGGGCATAGAAATGGTGGATTCCCATAGTGACCTGATTAGCATTTCTGATTTATAGCGACATCACATGCGGTATAAAATCGTTCATTTCAAAGTGTTCCTACAAATTCTGCCGAAATTACTCTGCGAGTATAGAGCCACACAAAAAAAGCATCCTAATAGGTTGGATACTAATGTCTATAAATCAGGAGAAAATCGTTCATTAGGATACCCATCCTTATTTATCTATTCTCTTCAGTGTTGCAGTACTTTTGAGGAAAGTTGTATAGGAATAGTATTAGAACTCATGCTTGTTTGCCCATCTTTCTGCAGTAAGAGTGTGAAAATGCAAACAATGAGTAGGTCAGATTCTTTGCCATCATGGTCAGAATTCTCTTCTGAGCACTATTATGTGTCGACGACTTTTTTCCAAAAATATTTAGCGTGCTGTTCTATAGTCATAAATAGGTTGATGGGAAGTTAAACCGCTGCTGGCAGGCTGCAGGTGAACCGCGGACTGATGGGTGGCGTTTCAATCCCACTGAAGTCCTCTTACTCTTTGGAGCTTTGGCGTCAAGTAACAAATTATATTGCATAGATTTGCAGTGTTAAACAATTAAGTCTTCTTCATTAGGCGGAATCAAACTTACAAACAGGGATTTGATTCATTGTCAACGTGAAATTTGCTCATAGCTCACCGCGCAACATTGCGCGAAGTAGTCTTTATGTTATTTGGTTAGTCTTGCCATAGTCAAATTCCAAGTCTCATGTCGTCATCACATCCGATCTGCGCTTGCCAAAACGTATATAGTCGTAGGAGGCTTTCTTCTTCAGATCTGGTCGTCCGAATCGTACAAAGTCGTAATCACGCTTCACTAAATAATAACATTGTATTAGATTCTGAAGCACACAGTTGATAGAGAAATAGAAAACATTGAATGAAATTGAGGTGTGCTGAATTTTCTGGTTTTCCTGAAATCTGCACTGTTTGAGCCCACTTCCCAGCAAGCAGCAGACAGCTGCGGCGCTTTGTGCCACTGCTCCACGACTCGACTTGTGAAGAGATAAGCGGATCAGTTTCATACATACGCAACAGACTGTGATTAGAGCACGAAAGAGTTGGTGAAGCTTACCATTTGAGGGTTAAAATAGCAATTTTAGTGCAGCTTTTTAGAATTTAATTGATATATTAATTCTATTAATTTAGTTCATTGATTTTCACAACATATTTAATATTATTTTCTAACCCCTCCCAACTGCTTACCGACTCATCGTGGCTGGGAAGTGTTCCTGGGTGTCGGACTGCGATATACAGCGGGGGGATTCGTACCACAGCAGGGTCTCCCAAACTGAGAAGGAGTCCGGCGTTTCCATCAGGAAGCTTAGCTAAGAGTAAACCAATACTAGAACCCACCACCGTTCTGGTATCAAAGTCGGATGGTGGCAAATCTCCTGATCCACAAGGGCTGCGACTGCCTGTCGTGGTGGACGACCTAGGGCAGATTTTGGCCAGACTGTCCTCGGGATTCTAGCAAACCACAATGGCTTAACCAGCAAATCTCCGAAAAATGGTGATTATGCTGGGACCTGCACAACCACTGAGAACGGGCCGTTCAAGTGTCAAGTAAGTAAGTATTTTATAACCGATAGAAACGCACGACTCAAATGCGTTATCTTCTATTGTGACCGCATTGAGGAAGTGTTCGATAGTTAGCAGTTAATTTAGCCGTTTCGACTTGAGAGATGAGAGATTTCTTTCCTTCTATGGTACAAATTAGCTCAGGTTTCTTCTCATTCAAAAATCAATTCGTTCTCTAGTGCAGTCATCAGTGGAAATTCTTTGATTAAATCTTTGTTGATAGTGAAGAGCCTGAACATCGCATTATTAGAAAACATTGATCACATTGATCACTGGTCATTGTTTGAATTAATTTTGTGATGAAACTAAACTTTAGACTGACATGAGGTTGCATATCATTCTTTGAACTTGTTGCATTCGCAGGGTTTTCTGGGCTCTATTTTGTATATTCCATCTTAAAGCAATAGGCACACGCTACGTGTGTAGTTGAAACCAATAAGGCTTAGTGAATAGCCTTGTTGGTTTCAACTATACTCAGGGAGGGTGGCTTTTACCTCTACGGTAAAACAACACAAACACAGGTCGGCCATAACAGTTCGCTATGCTACTGAGAGTTATCGGTGTATCTTTAGAGTTTTGCTGGATCATCAATCACTCCAAAATAAAAGCAGTTTACAGAGAAACTGAGAACGAAAAAAGTTCCTGCTCTCTGATTAACTGTCCGTAGTTGTCGATGGGTAGACGAAGACGACCTAACTTCGGAAAAGACTACAAAACAAGGAAAGAACAGAGCGTGGGCAAATCCTGAAACCCTATTCGGTTCGACTAAGTAGTGCGATTATTTTATCTGGGCAGTGTGCAGCACTGTGGTTGGAGGTGCCTTGCTGCACATACGGGTGGTTAGTTCAATTACGCGCCCAGTGCTCTCCCAAGCCGTCCATATCTCCATGATCGGAAAGCGGTAGCAAAGTTGTCAGCGAGGATAAAAGATGATGGTATGAAACTTTGGTGGGCACACATGCACTGGTATAAGACTTCGATTGGCACCCATAAGTCTTCATAGTCAATGTATAGTCCAAACACGCATTCAATTACCCGTGCAATGCTGAATGCAGTTGAATGGATAGCATATCTACTAGGGATTGTTCTACCCCGGCATCGTTATGCTCTGCCCTTGTCATCCTACATGACTATTTGAATAGTCTACTTTTATAGAAACTCATTTCGGCCTCAGTCGAGACCTTTATAACACGCCAGCACTAAGATACATAAAGACTTCCAATTAAGTTCAGTTCTACATACAGACTTCGGCCTAAGTTTTAACGTTATAGTTTTCCGCGGAAACTAGAAGTGTTATTGGAATGGGGAGCATAGAGTAAAGCAGAAATAAACCAGTAATACAACCACAACGTTGCTGAGATATTTGCAAAACTCTGGACCGCAGGTGTCTATGGTGGGGAACGAACGCGCTATCGTTCTTTCCGGGGAATAACGCGTTCACCACCACACCATGCGGGTACTTTGTTTCGCCTGTCTCTCAGCTATTCCTATCGATTTCGCTTAGTACCCTGCCGCGAAATCATAGTAGGCAGAAAATAAAAAGGTATAACATTGTGATTGCAACTACAGCTGCAGCTTAACTGGGTTCTATGCCGATTTGCGCTCCCCAGATCAACCCCGCTGTCGGGTGATTGCTGTGGCAAAAGGATCGATAGAAATAGCTGAGAGACAGGCGAAACGAAGGACTCGCATGGCGTGGTGGTGAACGCGTTACTCCCCGGAAAGGATAATAGCGCGTTCGTTCCCCACCATAGACACCTGCGGCCCAGAGTTTTGCAAATATCTCAGCAACGTTGTGGTTGTATTTCGCTTAGTACCGTGCCGCGAAACCATAGTAGGCAGAAAATAAAAAGGTAAACCAGTAATCTCAAAAGTGTGGTTAAGGAAGGGCTAAAGAATGGAAAAAAGTTCTAACAAACTTGGCATTAGTTGGGATCTTTCAAGAAAGAGAAGGCGACAAACACATCAGAAATGTGATCAACAAGTGAGAAGAACTGAGACACGCAATAAGAAGAGTTTCAAGGTGCAATGTTTGCATTTTCTTTAGTTACGTAACCCAGTATCGCACATTACGCAGATCGAAGCACTTGCTCCATTTGATTCGTTATCTCACATTTGTTAATAATCCATTATCTCCCATATTCATGAGAAACGGATTGGTTTCGTACGCCCCATTCACGCTCAACGGAGCGAATATCTCCGAATGCTACAGTTATATCTATCTAGATCGGGAAACCAATATGATGAGCGACTTAGCTCCAGAGCTGAGCAGGATGGAACGAGCGGCTTGCAGAGGTTCAAGATCCAGGACATCGTGAAGAGAACAAGGAACACCCGACTCCATGCCTACCTTTTCGACTCAACGGTACCTCTGCCCTAACGTATGCGTCAGAAACCTCGTCGCTATGTAAGGAGAATAGAAGATCACTCAGCGTTATTGAACGCACAGTCGAAAGGACGATGCTAGGAGTATCCCATATCACACAAGCAAGGAAAGGGATCGGAGAAGCTTCGACCTACTCCGCCGATCAAAAATAAAGGATGCCGTTCTTTACCTCAGACTTTTCAAGATAAGTTGAGCCGGAAACGTAGTGTGTATGGACAAAAGCCGTCAGTGAATGGATTCCTCGGGATGTCAAAGGTGCTGTAGGAAGACCACTGATCCGATCGTTAGAGTTCTTCGAGAAAATTCTAGAGGAAAGGTATGATAGTCAGCGAGTTCGTAAATCGAGCGGAACCCAGTGGACTACTGTTGTACGCGATAGGGAAAGGTGGAAAATTTACTGGCTCCCGCTCAAGTCACTGGACGATTATCGAGAAGACAGGTCATACAGGTGATCTCCCATTCGTAATCCATGAAAATCTTAAGACTTTCAGGGCGATTTGGCCGAGTTTTGAAGATTCTTTTCTTCATGAATGTAGCCAAGTTCTGGTCAAGCGTGATTCAGCTATGATAATTGCTTTCCACCATAGGTAGTTGCCAGCCTTTGTGGTTAGGAAGTAGCTCTTCCTAGTCAAGTTTGTTTTACGGATTTGCCTATCAGGGAGAAATGAGAAGCTTGCTTGGCTTTTTATGGAGTCGAACCTGCGATCATGTGTTTATTTCGCGGCATCTCTATTTATTGGCCCTCCAAACCATAATGAGAAATAATGAAAGTAGCAGAACGGAGGATTAAGTAATCCGAAAAAAGGCAAACAATGATGAAGAATCTTTTTAGTGCTTTATTGCGTAATCCGTAGGTGTCCGAGTCTCGTCATAACTTCAAAACGAATCTCGCAGGGAAGCTCCGCATTTTTGTTGGAGGCCCTAATCAACTCCATGAGAAGAAAAACTACTCTTAGAATAGCATTTCTCTAATCTTCAAGTGCAGGTGACCGTTTGTGGTTAAAATCGCGGGATTCCTTGTTAGACGGAACTGCGAGGGACATACCTCATCAAGCGAACAGTAAAAGAATAAAAAGATGGCGCTGATCAGTCCCTGAGGGATGCGGCTTGCATTCGACTTCGTTAATCGTTAGACATGATCGAAAGTGTGTATGGCTTGTACAATGATTCGTGGTGGCATATTGATGTGTCAAGTCAGTGCTGTTACCCTCCCAGATAAGCCTGGTATCATTTCGCCAACTACGAAGGAATAGAAGGCTTGGTGAACTCAGGTTGCGAGATTGAACCCGTGATCACGTGTGTATTGCATGACACTAAATGTTAAGCTGGTCTAGGTTGAAAGAAAAAAGGAACGAGGAACAACAATAATCGAGAACGGAAATAATGAAGATTAAATATGTGAAGAAATACTTTACAATTTACAAAGAACGAGAAGTCACGGGAGGAAATATTTCACGGGAGGAAAAAGGGGGTTTCTTTGTAAATGGTGCATTTTTTTTGTGTATTTTTGTTACAAATTCATTTTTTTGGCTACATATTTCAGTCATTTTTTCGTTCACATCCAAGGAAGGAAGAGTATCACTGGGATGAGGTCCAAGTGCTGGCCCAAGTAGATGAACGGTGATCTAACAAAGAGAAATCTCATGCTCATAGCTACAATTGTTGTGTTTCACTTTATTCTCTCATTCCTTCATTTCATCGCTTGGCCAATTCACTAAATTTAGTTTCAGTTCAGAAACGACGAAACCGTAGCTGCCGATACCAGACAGCCGCATTTGCACTAGTAGTGGATGGTGGCGATGATGTGAAGAACTACACAGTACGGTATTTTTCTACTGCTTAGTGCGGTGGTATTACTGCGATAACCATTTTCACTTTCTTTTATGACTTCAGTAAATGGCATGATCAAAAGTTGGTGTGCAGGTTTATGGAATTTTTCTACCCTTCCTAGTACTCATCTAATTATGCACAATACTTTATTTTCACAAAGAATTTAAAGAACTAACTAGCAGACTTCACAGGAACGTCGTCATATTGGCATTCTATGAACGTACAAGG